CAATCCCCGGTTCCACCAAAAGAAAGAAAGAAAGAAAGAAAGAAAGAAAGAAAGAAAGAAAGAAAGAAAGAAAGAAAGAAAGAAAGAGAGAAAGACAGACAAAATTCACAAGTCCAATCAACAAGGCGATATTAGTCCCTGGCAAGCACAAGGTACTGAGTTCAATCCTCAGTTCTGCTAAAACAAAACAAAACAAACAAACAAAAAAAAAAACAAGGTGATATTAGGTTGTGGCCCTTTTGGAAAGCAATGGAGCCCTCCCACAATGTCATGAATGTCCTTATCAAAAGGTCCCAGAGAACTGCCTTTCCTTTGCTCTGGAAAAACACATGGAAGGCAAAGCCTATGAGGCTCTAGTGGCACTGATCTTGGATATCCAGCCTCCACTCCCTTCTTGGTCAGAAATTTCCCAGTAGAGATTAAGACAAATGATCAGCATCTTTGATTTATGGGTCATGTTTCAATGATAAGGTTTTTAATTTTTGTTAAGGTTTTTAATTTTTAACCTCAGTTAAACTCAGGATGCCATGGAAAAGCCTACAGCTTAAGACATAAGAAAGAATGCAATATTGTGGGCTATTTTTAAAAAATTTCAGAGGCCAGCAAGATAGCTCAGTGGTCTAAAGTGCCTGCTTAGGCAAGCTTAGGCAAGTGCACAGGGACTGCAGTTCAATTCCCAGCACCACATGCCATGCCAGCTCTGCTCCCATGGTGGGCTGAGCTGGTCACACAAAAAAATAAATAAAAATAAAAGATTTCAGTAGTCAAGTTCCCCAGCTTCACAGTATAAGTCCCAAAGACACTCCATGGACACCTGAAATCAAACTTTATATATGCTATGATTTTTTTACTATACATACTTATGCATAATAAAGTTTAATTTATATATTAGGCACTGTAAGATTAGCAACCACCATAACCATATACCATGACATAACAATTATAACTCGTTACTTACTTGTGGAATTTTCTATTTAATACTTTCCATAAGCAACTGACTACAGCTAAATAGCAGGAGGAAAAAACAAGAATAAAGGAGGACTATGTTATTTAAAAAGTAAAATTAATTTTGAGACCAAAACAAAATGGGATATTGTACTTAACATTAAATTGTTCTATGGGGGGGGGGTTCATGTGCAGTGACAAAGCACTACACAGCCTTGGCAAATGATCTACAGAAAGCACTTATTTTTAACCTCAATTCCTTGACTCTGATCTGCCCAACAGCTACTAATGGCACTCCAAAAAGTCTAAAAGGAACACAGAAATTCACCAAATTAAGATTAATACTAAATATCAACATCTAATGAAAGCCACCACAAAATGAACTTTCTACATGATACACATGTATTAACTGAATCCTATTAATATTTCTACTGGAGGTAGTTTATTCTGTTAGAGAGAACATTAAACAGAGGCTTAAAGAAAGTAAGTAACTCTCCAAAGACTCAGTTGGTTAGTGATAAAACCAAGATCAAAACTAGGTCTTTTTAAGTCTTGAACCAAAACTTAAATCCTACACTGACAACCTCTCCATAATAGTCCTAAGTATAAACTGTGCATTAAAAAAAAAAAAATCAAAGCCCACATTTTGGGCCACCAGAACCATTAAGAAACAGGACACTTCAGTATTACACCAATTCTGTATCACACACACAAGGGTGTAAGAGGAGGTGAAGCTATTCAGAATACTTATTAATTTCTCCCTATGAACAAACCTCACTTATGTCTTCTATGCTGCACAAGCCAGTATTGCTGTCCAATCCTGCTTACTGAACTCTTCTTTTATTCACTGAACAAGCTTGATTGTCTCAAGTTAGAGTATTATCCAGAAAGATACTTCAACATCTGTTCAGTGAATGAGTAACCAAATAGGAGAATCAAGAACATACAGAAATGCTCAATAAATACATGTTTTCTGCACTTAAAAAACAAAAAGTTCCTCCACTTAAAAACCCCATTTTAACAATTTAAAAGTGGATTTTCACAAACCTCCATACTATTAGCAATCTATTTTCTGTTGGGTTACTGCAGATTTTCAGGCTGACCTCAAACTTGAGATTCTCCTGCTTCTGCTTTCCAGAGTGTCTTGGTTACTTTTCTTGTACTCAACACCCAAAGTTAAAGGATGACAGCTTGATATAGATCACAATTTGTAGAAGTTTCAGTTGATAGCTAGATGGCTCCAAGGCAAGGTGGCTGGGAGAGGGGCATGGATAACACAGCCACTCAAAATACTTAAAGCCATTCATTATGCCTAGCATAACCACCAGAATTAAAAAGGTGATTAAAAACTGAATTTATTCCAGCCAGGGAGATAGCTCAGCATTATAACTGCCTGCCTGGCAAACACAAGGTACCAAGTTTGATCCCAGGTATCGCAAAAAAAAAAAAAAAAAATAGAATAGAATTTATTCCAGCAAATGATTTTAAAACAGTCAATAGAATCAAGTAAACTAGGGGCCAGGGAGATGGCTCAGTAGAATAAGTGCTTTCCTGGCAGGCACAAGGGTCTGAGTTCAATTCCCCAATTCCACCCCCCCCCAAAAAAAAATCAAGTAAACTACTGTAGTTATATAACCTAAGAAGATTATATTCAGAAATTATTTTCATGATATGGTTCAAAAGAAGATACTTGCAAAAGTTTTCCTAACATGATCAATGAAGCAAATGATACATTAAAGAATGGAGAAAGCAACAAAAGCCACTTAAGTTTGGATGAAAAACAAACGTGAAATAGCAAAGAAGATTCAAAAATATGATCATAAGATAAAAATGAGTCGAGGAATTTTTTGAGTTTCAAAACTGTTACCTTAAAAAAAAAATCACTTTTAAAAACAGAAGAAAGTAGGGCCTTAGTGGTACACACCTGTTGTTAAGGCTTGTGTCTAGATGTCCTCCCAAAACCTCATGCAGTCACAGATGGGGCTTTGCAGAGACAGATGGATTTAGTGTGTGATTCTGGGATTAAGGATGTGATGCTGCACTGACTGATGGTGTGACATTAGGACTAAGGTTGTTCCACCCTGTGTGTGAGCACTCCCCATCTTAGGGGTAGGCAGCCTAGACAAAATATAAGGGACAAAATGTGGGCTGTTTTCTTTTCCTTGTCCCTTGCCACCTCTTCACTACTCCGCTGCCTCCTCCCCACCATGACCTGTTTCTCTTCTACAATGTACATCTGCCAGGCCACCGTGCCTTGGAGCAATCCAACTGTGGCCTGAAACCTCAACAATCTGTGAGCTAAATAAACCTTTCCTCCTTTCATTTTGGGTGCTGAGTATTTTGTCTCAGCAATAAGAAAAGTAACTAAGACACCCATAATCACAGCACTCCGGGAAGCTGAGGCTTCAAGTTTGAGCCCTGCCTGGATAATTCAGCAACTTACCAAAACCTTGTCTCAAAATTCAAAAAAGAGAATTTAAAAAGGGCTGCAGAGTCAGATTGGATCTTCACAGATTGGAGTAATCATTGTTCCCTGAGTGCACCAACTTACAAAACAATAAAATAGGTTCATATCTTTATATCACAATAAATGAATACTTAAGACTTTTGGGCTCAGAATTAGTTCAGCAACCTTAGCATGAACGTTAAAACAGAAAAATGCATGGCAACATCAGACGGCACAAAACAGCAGTCGGAGCTAACAGGACGACATCATGTCCTGTCAACAGAACCCAGTACAAAATGGGCCAAAACAATGGATGAGCAAATAGGGGGGAAAAAAGCCCTATTTCAAATGCTGAATAAACAGCATCAATGAACTACCTGAATAAGGAAAAGCTAACGGTTTCTTAACATCACATCTGAAAAATACTTTAAAACAACATTCATTTGGTAAATTATAAGATACCTCTTTAGGATGCCTATGATTTAGGAATAACTTGATTTCCCACAACATGTAAGTGAATCCAACACTAAGAACTTAGAGGGAGGGCTTTCCTTAAAAATGCAACAAAATCATCTGTAAAATAGGAATATTACAGGCCAATTGTACCGCATTTTTCTAAGTGAAACTTTGGGCAATAGAATGATGATTGAGTCTATTCTATATTTCTACAAAATCCGTTATAACCAGGACCACTGCATTAAGACACTCTCCATGAAATTATCAGATCACTTCAAGGATTCTCAATAAAAAAGAAAACCAACAGTAATAAAGTATGTAAACTTAGCACAACAGAAGACACACTGGTGTGACCGCAAATTAGAGCCACCATTTCACTTCGTATGACTGCAAATTAAAGGCACTATTGCACATGGCCAGGGGAGATTAACAAACGACTAACTTAACCAGCAGCTGGAAGCAAATTACACTGGATAAGCAGGTACACTCACTGAAACCCACAGTACCTTTAAAAAGACAGCTTTAGAGGATACATTAATTTAAGGACAGATAAGGAACCTCTCAGCCGCCTCCCTTTAAGGCTGGGGATGCGAGGAACGACCCGAGAAGCCGGCAGCTCCTGCGGGAAATGGTATCCTCGAGCCGCCCGGAGCCGGGTGACGCACTAGGAGCTCGGAAAATCTCCCTCGTCTCCCTCACGACGGCAGTGCTTGGGGGGGGGGGGGACCGGACCCGGACGGACGTCGTCCACGTGCACTATTGTTTTCCATATATGTTTATTATCTTAACTCCAGCTTTGATTTCAGTTTCGTCCACCTCAGCCCAGCGAGGAGGGGCCAAGGCGGAGCAGCCGCTGGCCTCGGGGCGAACACAAGTTTAAATAAGCAGAACACCACCTTTTCCTCCTCGCGGCGACTGCACCGGGCACCTCACTACTCAGCCGCCGCCGCGGGTCGCCATGACAACACCGCAGCCCAAGCCGCCCGCCTCCGGCCTCCCCAAGGCGCCCGGCCTCCGCCACGACCTACGCCCCCTCCTTGGCAGGTGAGGCGGGCGAGGCTCGACGCGAGCCCGGGGCGAGGCGCGCGGCCCGGCGCGACACGGCGGAGCCCGGATTCGTCGTGGGTGCCGAGGCGCCGTGGCCCTCGCTCACCTTGAACGGATTATTGAGATCCGGGTCCGCAAACGGGTTACTATCAAAATCCGACATCTCTCCGGCGCTCGGCGTCACCCCGACCCAGGCGCAGAGAGCGAGACGAGGCGAGGCCGCCGCCCCCCTGCGCGCTCACGTCGCCGCCGCGCAACTCGCCGCGCCGCTGGGGCCCCGCCCCGCCGGCGCGCACTGCGCATGCTCGGCCCCCAGACGCCCGGCCGCCTTCCAGTCCTGGTGCAGGATCCACAACGCCGGGCTTTGCCTGTGACCGCTTCAGCCGAGGGTGGAAGGAGTCGAGGACGCGCACGGACGCGCGCGGGGTTGGGCAGCGCGGCTGAGCGGCGGGCCTTTTAGGCGAGGCTCCCGGTCCCTGCACCAGGATGCCCCCGAGACTGGCGGAGGGTACGGGGATGCACCTAGCTGGAGAGCTGTGTGCCAGACTTCGGCGCCTCGCTCAGGTCCGGAGACCCGAGCGCGCACCGGGATCGCGAGACCCGGTCCCGGTTCCCATCCTCTGCTCACCCGCACGGTGAGGTGCAGAGAAGACAGGGCGGCTGAACCCGGAGATCAGGAACCTCAGGTTAATGAGACCCCAAAAGATACGTTTGTTTACTTCCAAGCGTTTGAATGCAGCCACACACAGACATACACACCTCCCCCTACACTCCTCCCTTGATTTTTGCCTATTGTCTTCCCAACACCAGGAATGAGATTATAAGCAAATGCGTTTATGTAAGGAATTCACGTGCATGCTTTGTGGAGCCACCTCAAACTTGGCGACGGCATCTTCTTCCACACTAACAGGAAAACACAACATTAGAGAAGCAATGATGAATCACAATTATTTGTCTTGGTGGGTGCCTAAGAATTGCAGGACTCTAACCAGGTCTGGTGGTGCATACCATAAGCCCAGGAGCACTGGGGAAGCTGAGGTAGGAGACTCGTGTCGAGTTTCAGGCGGACCTAGACTACATGGTGAGTTCAATCCACCCTGAATCACATCCCAATACTCTGTCTCAAAAAAAAAAAAAAAAAAAAGAGGGTGAGGAGAATCAGATTTAAACAGACTTGGTTTTCTAGAAGAACTAACTAGCAAGTGACAACAGAGGATCCTGATCCTAGCAGGGCTGTAACATTCTAAATATTTGATTAGAAAAGAAACGTGCAGTGCCTTGTGTTTACCATTAACAAGTGTTCAGTGCCTGGTTCCTTACTACACTCTGAAAACATGGTTCAAATCCCCATTCTGATAGTTAGTACTTTGTACTACTTGCATCACCTCTCAGTCTGTAAACAGTTGTTTAAGAAAAAAATGAGATAATATGTAGAAACACGGCCTTCCTGTATTTACAGCCTACCAGCCATGTCTTTGCCATTTCCCTTCTCAGGTTAACCTTACCCACCTCCTCCACTTCTCCCACTACTGTGGCCTTCGTTCCTTCTGTAGGGGAAGATTAGGGGGACATAAACAAAAACCCAGAGCAAAACATGGATGACTAACATAGAATCATCATGTTTATCTGTCGCTGACAATGTTAAGATCATCACAAGCTTATCATGTACCATGTGCTTACATCCTTTATGAAAGTGTTTCTCACATTTACTTACATGGACCTTTTTCCCTTTTCTAGAAACAAAGACTAAGACCCTGACTGGCCCAACTAATAAGACCGATAATTAGCAAAAGTCAGGACACATCTCACACTGCATCCAGAGCAGGAGGCCTATATCTTGCAGCACTGCTGTGCTGCTAAGACAGTTCTCTTCTTCCTTCTCTGCATGTGCCACAATGTAAGCAAACTTCTACTTTGCTACAGCAGTCTTGTCTCCCCCATTTCTCACTAAGAGCCCCACTTCTCCATTCTTTGTTGAAGCAAGAGCAAGGACTAGCAGAAAGGCAGAGGGTCACTCAGGGACCCCACCACCACCAGACACAACACCTGTCTTCCAATAGATTCAAATAATCAGCTATTTATTATTCATCTACTATCTTCAAAGACAATAAGGATCCACTGAGCCAGCACTGCAGGATGGAAATATTCAGCTGCACTGTGTATGACTAATGATCTTAGCACCTAACATAAATGTTTAATAAAAGTTCATTGTTACATGATCATTTGGAACTTGTTAATGATGTAAGCACCCACCTCTCCACACCTCTATCCTGAGATTCTCCTTCAAGGAATTTGAGATCGGAGTACTGGACCCTCAATTTTAGTGTCTTTATGGAAATCCTAAATGCATAGCATAATACTTCGAGAAACAAAGACTAAGACCCTTTCTTTTTCAGCAGTGGAGATTGAACCCAGGGTCTTTGCACTTAGCTACATCCTTGGCCTTTTTTATTTGTTATTTTGAGACAGAATCTCACTAAGTTACTACATTGCCCAGGCTGGGTTTGAAACTTATGATCTTCCTGCCTCCCTTTCCCAAATTGTTTAACTTTTTTTTTT